TTTGATAAATCAGTGTGACAACATTTTTTTTTCTCTTAGCGTGGAGAGCCGGCTCTGCAGATTTACCGGTTTTAAAGGTATCCACCCTCAATTTCAACAATATTTTCAGGTATCCTGCTTCCGGCTAACTACTTGTTACCAGAGAAGCTCCACGTGTTTTGTTCTCTATATGCTCGATTAACGTGAGTTTATGATCTGAAATTTTTTAGTAATCCAAACATTGGAATAGCAACTTCAGAAGGACAAGTAAGGCAACGACGGAAACCGTGCAGTGTAGTTTTGAGCCTGATCATGTGCTTTCCAACGGTTATTTTTTCTTGTTGTTGGTGAAACTTCTTTGAGATCCCCACCTGTGACCACACTGAAGGAAATAGGCTTGATTACTACTTTGTCCACAATTTTTTAAGGATAATTTTCTTTTCTATCTTACTGGCTAGCTCTACCCGCTTCAATTCAGCCTTCATTTTCAACAAATCCTACCAGTGATCGATGCTAACACCAAAAAATTGTAAAAAGCGAGAACAAGGGATCAATCGCATTAGCGTTTTCACGTGAAAACATTAGCCCATTAGCCACCATGAGCTCTTAACCATTTTTCGAACAAACTGGAATAATCCGATGAAACCTTTTAATGGGTACGCTATGTAATAGCTATGTAATATTCGCATTGTGCAGGGAAACCCCATCAAATGACAGGACCTACATAGATAGCATTTGTTCAACCCTATTCATATTAATTGGGCAACAAACTTCTCCCCATCGCTGCTGAGACTTTGACTTGTTGTAGTCAAGAGGGAAATGAAGCCGATTTTCCTTATTTGGATTAGGTTGGGCTTACTTCTGCTTTCAGAGATTCTCGAATAGAAGGGCGAAGGTAGAGTGCACTCCAACTTTCCAGTACCTTCGTCAATCACTTCTCATTAGTGAATGAAACAGATTCCCAACTATCAGAATCAACCCAAGGATCTTTGAAGTTTGATGTTCGAGTAAATCGGTTGAGCAGTATTCACTCGCATGGAAATGAGATAGTTCGGAGCAATCATTATAGTATTCCGAACAGTAAAAGCATATTCCCATGATCATGTGTAAATTTTTCTAAACCGTCAATTTTCCATGAGAGTTCTCCCGGAAAAACACACCCTTAACCGGCTCTCGACATGGCTACTCAAACTGAGAATCAAACTTAATATAGTGTGCTACAGAAGCAGTAATTCGAAGTTGTTTCCGCGCAGTTAAGTGAGCGTAACTCAAAAGCGTTACAATGAAGAAGAAAATAGTAAACAGTAACCATGGTCGCAGGTGAAGTAGGAGAGCTCTGTTCCCCTTCCCGCTTTTCGTTAAAATAATGGCAGATAGCAATTCCAAATGCCGCTAATGTTACAGGCCGATGATAGTATTTCTTCTACTTCTGTTGCTACCCTTGGCAAAAACAGAATCATGCGCCTATCTGGGAGAATGGGGAGAATGGAGCGAATGGACAGGTTGCCCCAAAGATACAAGCTCCATGATGAATTTCCGAACGAGAATACGGTATTCAAGTCATTTTTGACCGAATATTGCCTTACTTTCCGGAAGAAATTTTCGCATACATAGGTGTTATTTACATGCCATTCAGAACATGTCAACAACGACCTGCTGGATGTACCGTTACAACTGCATATGTTTGTCCGTGAGTGCACATATGATAAATATTAACAGAACTGGTGCTAAAAAATTTCTGATTGGCTTAATTCGACCTTTGATGACTTTAATGAAAATAGGGCACCTTAACAAAAATTCGAAATAACTTTTATTTTATGCGCTCACAACGTATGCCAAAAACAGATCGACGCAGAACTTAGGTCTGAAAAAAACTGTTCTTTTAGTAAGTTCAGAACATAATCGATAAACTTTATACCAAAACTAAACTTTTGAATCAGTAGTAGCTTTTAAAAACTGTCTTTTATCGAGAGGAATGGCTTAGTCCCTAAGAAATTTATGTAATCCACTCCTAGAACGTCGGACATCAACCTGGAATAAATCAACCATATCACCGACCAAGCCCACGTTGGATTGTAAAAATTCGTAGCTCGTAATGGATTTGGTCCGGCGATGTCAAAAAACCAGAAGTAATTAAACCTATCTTAATGCCTAATTCAGAAAAGCTGACGATACTCGAGGGGTAAGCTTACCATCCTAGCGCTATCCTGTTCAGTGCTAACAATGAGTACTGTTTTTGTTAAAGCTTCATCTCTTCCACCGTTCCTCTGCTCCCTTGGAGCTGCTATAAGGAGGGCACTGATTTTGTGGGGTACCTTCAATAGTCTTAGGCTCAGGCTGTTGTACCGTCAAAGATGACGTTCAAGTCGCAATCTCGAGCCCTTGAAAAGAGTAACTAGTCCTACTCAAAAATACTAGAGCGAAATTTTATCACATGCCATCCTTCAGTGGTGTTTCAGCAACCATGCGACTTCCTACAGCTATTTTTGAGCAATACTGCTGTCAGATCTTAGTTAGATATACTCTACTGAGCCAGATGGAGGTTACCGTAGCGAGGAATCAGAGCATTTAGTGTGACCGTTGCCAGTCAATCAGACCTGGTGCCAGTGCCATGGAACGATTTTACCTTTCATCAAAGTCCCAGGCAAAACTGAGGAACAGTTGCAAGATTGCAATTCCCCTCCCACACCCTCCCTTTACGGAACACCTGCCCGTAATTTTTCGCGAACTAAGCCATAGTAGCTGGCACGGCGAAAGATATTTAGAACTATCAGAAGTGCTCAAGACGGTGAACTAGTAACTTCCCAAAGAAATGCAACTGAATACCTAAGGCGACACTCATCTCCACCCTATGGCGAGATCCTTTTTTCTTACTTGTCATTCTGTTGAGGAAATATGTTTCTGTACTCTATAAATACCAATCACTATGCTTCTATTCGATGAAATTTGCCATATGATTGCAGCGGCACATATTCCGAGGTCACTTATTGTGAATCTGGTACGACTAGGGAACTAGCAGCACAACCACCACCAGCCACTACACCCCCGCCACCATGTTTGTTGGATGCTTGCTCAAGGTTTGCCTACAGGAAGCTTTCTCCAGTCAAGTTATTCATTTTCAGCACCTACACGTCCACCAGCTGTCGTGCCTACAATCGTAACTTCACCGCCATCTCTTTGTGAGTGCTAACGGATTTACTGACACTCCTTCCCTGGCACTCAATTCTAAGAAAAGCGACCTTGTTGGAGTCACAGTTTTTACTTTTCGAATATCGCCGTGATTGTGTGCAGCGCAGAAGTCCTAGGTTAACTTTGTCATGGACTCAAGTTGCGGCCCGATCTTTCGACTAGTGCTAGGTTCCAAAATAACCCGCTTCTCTTGCTCAAATTCTCAATTTACCGCCTTATTCCACGTTATTCTTATACTACTTATACCAGTGTTTACAGCAACAATATTGACAACGACTTGGGCTACCTCAACCACAACACCCATTCCCGAAACGAGTACGACTGAAGCTTTTGAAGAAACTACCGAAGATCTCCAACAAGAAACAGCAACAACCTTCGATAGCTACACTTCAAGAACACCATCTACCAGGGTGAATCAGGGGATCACTTTCCCGACAGGACGAGAAACTACCACCTGGGATGACACAACTATCTCAGACTTGAGTGAGAGAACAGAACCAATGGGAACAATGCCAACTGAAAGTAGTCCTGCGATGACTCAAGAACCAGCTACTTCAGGTATGAGTACGGCGCCAGCCAATGCTAGTCCCACAGTTGCACAGGAAACTACTGTTGAATTTGATACTACAGTAGCAGAAGAGGTCGAGGAAACTACTGAGATTCCTCTCACAGACACCACTGCATACAGTGATGTCCCAAAAGAAACCACTGATAGGGAAGGTCCAGTAACCACCGATGTACCGGAAGGAACCACAGACATAATGGTCACTGAAAGCCGTGGCATCAGCGATGGGCCAGAAGGAACAACTGATATGGAGATGTCGGAAAGTCCAGCGGTCTCTGACCCCTATGAAGAAACCACAGGTGAGGCTTGTTCAAGACCGATTTTTCAGTTGCCACAGAGCTGTACACAGACTTCTTGGTAATATTGAGTTCGCCTCATTTCTTTTACTGATTACAATGTTACTAGTAGTACTAAGTAAGTGGCCTCAGAATGAACCTGCGTCCTCCTAGGGTAGCCTAAGAGAAGCTATCGGGTCAAAAAAACCAAATAAAATAGAGAGTAACATGGGTGTGTTTCAAAAGTATGTGCACACCCAACATTTTGTTTTTTTGGGAATACCATTGCTTTGTGTAACCTGTGACCCTCACCATTCAATTCCTTGTGTGCGATAATCTACGAACACTTATTCTAGGAGAACATCGTAGCTGCTAACATAATTTTTTATCAAAGAAAAATTTCTCCTTTGTTTCAAAAGTATGTGCACACTTAGCAAAAAACAGAAATATAACCGAGTTCAGAAATCATTAAGACCCCCTAAATTTCTGTAGAGGTTATCGACTACGAGGAATCGTTTGAGAATGGTTTCGTTACGGTAGGTTCTTTAGTTACCTTTGAAATGAAAAATTTTGAGTGTGCACATACTTTTCGAACAGCGACTAGGCCGCTCTTTTTCATACATTGCTAGATTCACTCGAGACCCTGGCAGCTACCGCTCACAACCTATTCCTAGCCGTCCACGTATTTTGACTG